GTAAAAGCTCTTGCTGCCCACCAGAAGAGATGCCTTGATTTGACAGACTCTGTGGGTCTTGCTCTCCCCTGTCACCTAGGTGAGTCATGCTCAGGCCATTCCCACCCTGATTTACGCCTGATGGATGGAAAGCTAGGAGGAGCTACCCTTTGTTTTTGAAGACAGGATCTTACTCCCCATCGTGCAGGCTTAAAGTGCAGTGGCACGATCACAGGCTTACTGCATCCTCAACTTCCCAGGCTCAGGTGATCCTCCCACCCCAGTCTCCTGAGCAGCTTGGACTACAGGCATGCGACCACCCATACCCAGTTAATTTTTTGTATTTTTAGTAGAGACAGGGTTTCGCCATGTTGCCCAGGCCAGTCTTGAACTCCTGAGCTCAAGCGATCCGCCCGCCTCAGCCTCCCCAAAGTGCTGCGATTACAGGCCATGAGCCACCACACTTGGCCAGGAGCTGCCTTTAAGCAAGCCCAGGCTCAGGGTCTTATGCCCTTAATGAAGGCTGAGCCCACGGCCGGCCAGCTGGCTACCTGGAAAGCTCTCTGAGCAGACTCTGGGCTCCTAAGGTGATTCCAAGAAATTTGGCCTCTGTGAACCTAGGTAACTATTACACTTCATAAACATTTGGTGGCCCAGCCCTCCTTGAAAGGGTTCTAGAATGTCGGCTCTGCATCTGACCTCTATGTCTTTGCTAGGCCATCCCCACACCTGGAACCACTGCTCTCTCCAAAGGTCCATCATCCCTGGCCTCCATGGCCTCCACAAGCCTGTCTTGAGTGCTCAGCATATGCTACCTCACCCAGCCCTGAGCAGAACCAGACCAGCAGCCTCCACACTTAGCCGAGGGACTCTCCTGTCCCTTGGGCCTGGTTTCCCAACCATTCTGGCCTCTTCTGCCTAGGAAGGGACCGGTGCAAGCCTCTGCCAGGGCCCTCAGCACATAGTTCTGCTTTGCCAGAAAGAGCAGTAAGTCATGTCCGACTGCTTTGTTGTTTTCCCGACAGTAATGTAGATACTATACTATTACCATCCCTGTTTCACAGATAAGACATATGAGTACAGAGAAGTGACATAACTTGCCCAAGGCACACAGCTAGTAGGTGAGAGAGCTGGAATTTGCACCGGGGAGACGTGGCCCCAGAGCCCACATTCATAACAGCTACACTCTGCTGCTGTAATACTGAAGAGAGATGGGAGAAAGAAGAATGCCCAGGCCTGTGTGACACTAGTCCTTTCTCTGTTCAGAAAGCACAGATCACCCCGGGAGCCTCATGCCATTCACCTTGGACATCGCCGCTCCCTCCTCCCTCTGCCCCACTCTAGCCAATCCTGCTCATCCTCAGCTCTCCACTCAGGCACCGTCCTCTCCGGAAGCCTCCTCTGATGCCTTCAGTGCTTATGGGCGACCTTTCAACCTCACTCAGGCCAGCGAGCTTCCTTCCATCAGAGCAGCTGTGCCTTGTCCCCACACCAGTTTCCCTATTAGACTGTGCACTCCTCCAGGGCAGGAGCCACACTGACTCCCCACGCTCTGGTCCCCATGCCTAGACCAGGAGTTGGTACACAGCCTCTGTTCAGTCAGTGCTGCGTCAGCTGAGATCAGGGCCTGGGCTTGTGGCTCCTGTGCTGCGCCAGCCAGACGTGGGGCAGAGCAGACCTCCTTGTCTCGGGCCACTGCCCCTACCCCCCAGCTAGCAGCCTGCCTGGGGTGGTAGGCTTCAGGTGGCATAGCACAGACATTGATGGGCCTCCTGGATGGGGACTGGCTGGGAGGCTTAGGGGCCAGTGCATCACCTGGCTCTTCCTCCAGTTTGCAGATGGGGTATACCTGGTGCTGCTCATGGGGCTCCTGGAGGGCTACTTTGTGCCCCTGCACAGCTTCTTCCTGACCCCGGACAGCTTTGAACAGAAGGTAAGGAGAAGGGACATCAGGGAGGCTGCCTAACCCACATCCCCTGACTTATCTGCCCACACCCACGCTGGGGCTATCCACAAAAAAGGCAGAAGCCTCCCCTCTGCCCAAGGTCTTCAGTGCCTGGAGGTGGGGCCCATTATAAGAGCTGAGCGAGGAAGGAGCTACCTGCAGACCACTGGGCATCCCTGACTGCCTTTCCCTTCCCCTGAAGTCTGGCCCTGGTCCCCTGCCCTGTGTTCCTGTCAAGTGTCCCAGCCCAGCCTCCTGTCTCCCCAGAGGTGACAAGGAAAGTGACTGTGAAGCTGGTCAGACCTGAGGCCCATGCTTAGCCTGGTTCTGATGGTCTCTCGTAGGCTGCTACATCCTGCTCGCTACACAAAGGCATTTGGTCCACAGCAGAAAGCCTGCTCAGCCTGTTGAACATGTCCTGCCATCTGATTCTTCCAAACGTGTGCACTGACACCCCCAGTTTGAAGTCCTGGCAGTTTACACAGGAACACAGTAGGATATGAAGGGAGTTTTGTGCTTCTCCAGGAGTGCTTCTCCAACAGCAAGCTAGGATCAGCTAGCTCACGCTCCAGGTGGCCTGCCCATTTTGGTAGCCATATTTCTTCTTGAAATTAGTTCAGCCTCTGCCCCTCTGGCTACAGTGCTGGGCTCCTTCACTTCCCAGGGCCAGGTCCCAGGGCTCCTGGGTGTGCAATGGTACATGCTGTCTGCATCTCTCTTGCCAGGTCTTGAATGTCTCCTTTGCCTTTGAGCTCATGCAAGACGGAGGGTTGGAAAAGCCAAAACCGCGACCAGAAGGTACTTTGCTCTTTCCTGGGTTTGTGACAACAGAGACCCTCTCCCTGCACACAGGTACTCAGATTTTGTAGCAGAGGGAAGCATTTTCTGAAGTCTTCATTGCTGGGGAAGGTGGGACTCGGTGCAGCTGCTCAGTCCCAGAGACCCTTTGTGAGCTGCCAGCTGCACAGCCAGGGGAAGAAAAGAATCTAAAATCCCACACATGGCTTGCATGGGATTGCAGGGATCAGGGCCCGAGCAGAAGAGCTGCTGCAGGAACTGTCCTGTGCCCAATGGCCAGGTTTTTCTGTCCCTGCACAGGGTGCTGACCTGCCAAAGAGCTGTGTCCCTGCAAGTCGGGGTGAAGGTGCAGTGCAGACAGTTCTGGGCTGAGCAGAACTACTTCTATCTGGCAGATGTGGAGCTCTGCCTGCTCAGACTCTGCCTGAGGACAGGGCATGATTTGTGGGGTTTGGGTTGTACATATAAGACTGGGGGGAAATGCAGAAGGAACAAGTGCTCCTGCAGCCCTTGCATACTCATGCTAGGAGTGCACACGTGCATTCGTGAGCAGAGGAGGCACACTTCTCTTAGTAGTCTTCTTGGTACAGATGTTCGCTTTCTGCCCCTTACTGACTGAAGTATTCCATTTCACCAGAGCTGGCGAGTCACCACTGTGTTGCAGATGATCTGCATATGTCCCCTGGGAACATTGAGAATGCCATTTGTGGCAAAAGGTTGCTTGCACTTTTCTGGTAGTTTACAGGCAAGGGGTTGAGTAGGGATGGTGGGCTTTCATGCCCCCTTGCTGCCTCTGCTCTGAACTCCTCTATCCAAACCCCCACCTAGTGGGGGCCATGCCCTGGTCTAGTGGGCTTGAGACCCTGTAGATCATGATATAACGAGAGGGGTAAGACCTTCCTGAACCTCAAGGCATGTGCAGCCAACCAGGGAAGAGACAAGTTGCAGCCAGTTAGCAAAATGAAATGACAGTCCTGGGAACTGTTACGAAAGAGGTACAAGGAAGGGGCTGTGAGGACTGAGGAGGTGATACCACTTCTGTCTTGGGGGAGGAACACTTTGATGGAGATGGTGACAGTGGGGCTAAACCATAAGGACCAGGTAGGGCTTTGGTGTATGGAGACTGGGAGAGAAGTATGTGCATGCCAGACAGAATGACAGCATGAGCAAAAGTCCCCCCTGGGGAAGAATGAGGACCCTGTCTCATGACTCCTTCCAGACTTGTTATCTATTGACTCTGGCCAACAAAGGTCAACTCCTGTTCTCATTTATTACCACCTTGTCCTAAGCCCCTGGTCAACTGAGAACTGGGGGAGGACCTCTGGCGAGGCTGGTGTCCCCCTGGGGCTCTCTCTTTGGCAAGGCCACTCCAGCCTTCCTAATAGCATTAGGAATGGACTCTTCTTGTTCTGTGGGCAGATGATGAGCACCCTGCTTCTGGGAGGACAGACACAGTGGGAACGTTCCGGCTATCATTTTGCTTCCATTTTCTTGAACTGCTTAATATGAAACTTCCTGGTTACAGATTGGAAGTACTTCTGATATTTTAGAATTGGGATATTTCTTTCCCTTGGGACAGATAATTTTCCCAATAGAAATCAATCTATAGGAATATTTTGGAATATAGGTGATATTTGTATGCAATTATTAAGTTGCTGAATATGAAACGAACTGACCGATGTGGATGGAAAAACACGTGTTTTATTTGTTATGACACAGGGCATTATGCCCACGCTGCAAATTTCCAGTACGTAAAGGGGAATGGAAATAGCATTTTATGAAATTGTACTTTGTGAGAAGTGAATCCCAGCATTCCCTCTGCCTTTTATGCTTCTACCTGGAAAGTGAGATTTGGAAGTAAACGATGCAGACATTTCAAAGGGTGCCCATGTGGGTAATTCTTTGAGGGCATTTCAAAATCAAACTGGTTGTGATGGAGGCATTTTTCATGGCAAAATGTTTTTAAGGTCAGGAAAATGCATTCTCCGCTGTGCTGTTTAACACTTAAAGCTCTGTTGTGCCTTGAAATCCCCTAGAAACTGGGTTGGTATCTGAGATGACTTGCTGCCCGGGCTTCATGACTGTTTAGTACCTCAGTTAGTGTAAGCCAAGGGTTAGCATCAAGTTCATAACCAGTGGAGCACTTGAAATAATGGCCAGGCGTGGAAGCTCACACCTGTAATCTTAACACTTTGGGAGGCCAAGGTGGGCAGACGGCTTGAGCTCAGGAATTTGAGACCAGCCTGGGCAACATAGTGAGACCCCATCTGTACAAAAAATACAAAAAAATTAGCCAGGTGTGGTGGTTAATTTTCCATCTCAGGAGGCTGAGGTGGAAGGGATCGCTTGAGCCTAGGAGGCGGAAGTTGCAGTGAGCCGAGATGGCACCACTGCACTCCAGCCTGGGCAACAAAGTGAGACCCTGTCTCAAAGGAAAGAAAAAGAAATATTGTCATGCAGCTGGCAGCTTTTTATTTAGGGCATTGTGCCACATGTCTTCAAATGCACATGTCCACCCTGTTATCACCCTTCAAGTAGACTCACCATCAATTATGGTTAAGACTCCAGAATAACAGGCAGGCAGGGACTCAGAAGACATCTAGTACCAGGCAGGGTTGAAGTCTGTAGGACCGAATATCTAAAATGTAAGGAGTCTCATACCTGGGACCAGATGGCAAGCAATGCTGAAAAAACAAGCAGGTGATGGCAGCTGAGTTCCAGGTGATCACTTCATTCGGGGAAGACTTGGTCAGTGGCTGATAATATGGAAAATGTTCAACTCCCCCATTCCCCTAGGAGATAGTGTACAGAAGCCAACATTTAAAACTCTCATCATACCAAGTGTTAGCAAGGATGTGGAGCAACAGAAACTGCTGGTGTTCTAAATTGCTAGAACCATTTTATTTTTATTCAGTCCTTATTTAGCTGAAAGTAGAAAACAGTTTGTTCTCATCTAACATAGTTGAAGATGTGTAATGCACTATAAAATAATGTGGTAGACACCCCCTGCCAAAATAATGTGGTCCCCAGCCCTGGACGTCCAGGCCCTAATCCTCAGTACCTGTTCATGTGTTATCTTACATGGCAAAAGGGACTTTGCAGATGTTATTAAATTTAGGGGCTTGAGATGATGACATTATCTAGGTGGTCCCAATGTCATCACAGGGGTCCTTATTATAAGTGGAAGAGGGAGGCAGAAGTGTGAGGGTGATGTAGCATAAGAAAGGCTCACCCAACCATTGCTGGCTTTGGGGATGGAAGAGGGCTATAAGCCAGAGAATGCAAGCAACCCCAGAGGGTTAGAACACCAGTAACTGCCTTATGGCCACCTAACTTATTCCATCCCCCACTTGGAAAGAACAAGTGTAAGGATCTCCATTAGAGCCTCCAGAAAAAAATGCAGCTGTGCTGACACTGTGATTTTATCTCAGTGAGACGGATTTGGGGCTTTTGATTTCTACAATTCAGAGATAATAAATTTGTGTTGTTTTTAGGCCACCAAATGTGTGCTAATTTACTACAGCAGTAATAGGAAGTTGGCACACTCCTTGACCTAGCAATCCACTCACAGGCATGCATGTCCATACACCAGGAGACAAGCCCAAGAATACCTGTGATAGCATGGGCTGGAGTGTACATCTCAGTAGACTAGCTACATAAATTGGAACATATTCATATCACGGATTATAATACAACCATGACAATAAAAAGACTGAACCGAGAAGTCAGGGGAGGAACTTCTAGTTACTGTAGCATGAAGAGATCAGTGACTATTCTCTGCTAAAGAGCAAGTGTGAAACTGGACAAAATGATCAAAAACAATGATTTTGAAGCACCGAAAATCTACCAGAGGTAGACAACAAATCAAGAAGCTTTATTCTTTTTTTTTTTTGAGATGGAGTTTTGCTCTCCAGGCTGGAGTGCAATGGCACAGTCTTGGCTCACTGGAATTCCCCTCCCAGGTTCAAGAGATTCTCCTACCTCAGCCTCCCAAGTAGCTGGGATTACAGGCTGCCACCATCACACCCAGCTAATTTTTGTATTTTTATTAGAAATGGGGTTTCGTCATGTTGGCCAGGCTGGTCTTGAACTCCTGACCTCAGGTGATCCACCTGCCTCGGCCTCCCAAAGTGCTGGGATTACAGACGTGAGCCACCCTGCCCGGCCAAGAAGCTTTATTCTTGAATAATTATAGAATTATAGTTAGATAATTATAGCTATACCTCAGTAAAACTGTTAAAAAACAGCTCATGCAACAGCATAGATGAATCCTGTGAAATATAAAAAGAGGAAGCTTTCGAATCTACCGTTCAAGGGCACATATGTTGATGCTAGGACTGGTAAGAAAAGCAAGAAAGTAATCGTAAGCGTCAGCATAGTGGTTATATTTGGGGAATGAAAGAGGGAATGTAGAAGGGGACGGAATCCTCCTAGGGTACTGACAATGTTCTATTTTTGACATGGACAGGAGTTCATTTTCAAATATTTAAAACAGTACATATATGTTGCATGGGGTTTTTTCTGGATGTATGTCATATTTTTAAAAAATTTTAATGACTTAAAAGCTTTTAAAAATAAATAAAGCAAATGGCAAACTACCACTAGATAGGACAGTAGGAGCACCAAAAGGAGCATCTATACAGCATGGATCCTGCCCCAGTGGGGAGTAGAGAGCAGGCAGAGATGTGAGGCAGGATGAGACAGAGGCGCCGGGAAATCGGCCGGGGGCTAGAGCATAAGTAACCACCTACTGGCCACCTGATTCCAGCCCCCAACAGCTGCCAGCCCTGAGCCAGCAAGGGCCTCCCACCTTGGTCAAGGGATTCAGAGACCCCGGGGGAAAGCTTCAGAGAAGGGCCTTCAACAGTGCCTTGGGATGAAGGAAACTGTGGTGTCACAAATGGCCACAGAGGGCCTTGTCTCTTTGTGCAAAATGTTTCTGCTGGGAAGAGAGTTCCTCTCCTTCCTTTGGCCTCTGCATCCTTTAGAGAATCAAGAACTCATTTTGGATGGTCCTCTCCTGATGGAAAGAGTTACTAATACCTCTGGGTGGGAGGAGCAAACAGCAAGCCCTTTCCCCTTGGCCAGAAGCTGTTTTATCTCTACAGCCGCCTCTTCCTTGGCCCCAGGCTGCCAGACAGCCTCCGTTCTGGTGTATCTGACCAGGAGCCCCATAGTCCTGGCTGTCTGCCTCCAGAGAGGGGCCCTGGGCCAGCACACAGAGGCTCTCAGAACTGAACTGAGTTGCTAATCACACAATTTATGAGATCAGGGCTTTGAAGTGGCTCTGTTTATATGGCATGGAGTTACAATATATTCCCAGGAATCCACAGCCCTTCTCCTGGCTGAGATAGTCCAGTCTCCTGCTGGCTTGCTAGTCTGCCTGGGACTACCTGGGGGCTCAGGTCTTGGCTTTCTTGATAAGAACAGGTGATAAGCAGTGTCTCCGACTGCTGTCTCCCCTATTCACCCGGCCCATCTGTTGGCGTTAGTGGTGAAGGTGATGAAGAAGCAACTCACATTTCCAAGGAGCAGGGCTTAGTCCATGTGAATGGTGCGGGCATTGTGCAATGCACAGACCGCACGGCTGTACACAGCAGCTCTGCTAGTGGGCAAAGATGGGAAAACAGAAAGAAAACTACCATTTAGGGGACGCTTAATATATTCTGGGTGTTTTTCATAAAGGTATTGCCCAATTTTACCAGTGAGAAAACTGATTCAGAGAATTTAAGTGACTGCCAAGGTCACACAGCTGTGGTGGAGATGGACTTCAAACTTTTGTGAACATAAAAATGTCACTTAGTAACCATTAAAATGGCCAGTTTAAAACATTCTGCCATATTGGACATTTTCTAGCAACCTCAGAACTCACCCATCTTTCAGAAGGGAAAACAAATACCCCTGCCGCCGTCGGTATCTGTCCTTCATCGGGCCCCCAAATTCCTCCTTTGTGACCCATGCTCAGGCCTCCACTTCTGATCTGCCCATGCTGTTAACACTTTACCCCCACCTGCTCTTGGCCTTGCTCTCTCCCAAGTCACTTCCTGGGCCTGTGTCCCCTGGGAACTCTTTTCAGTCCTTAACCTCCTCACCCTCTTGGGAGCATGTGGCCCTCTTGTCTGCCCTCTCTGGAATGTTTTTCCTTGGCTTCCAAGACACTGGGAAACCATTCATTCATGGATCTGTTAATATCCTTGGAGGGTCCGTGTTCTCTGTGTTCAAGGAACCTACAGTCCAGGGCAGAGGCAGATATTAATCAATAAGCATACAAGTCACTGATTTATACCTGGAGTGAGTACTATGAAGGAAGCATGTGGGAGCTTTGAGAACATAAAACAGGACCCCTGTACCCAGGCCAGGGTCAGGAAGGCCTAGGAGCCTGTGCTTTGAGCTGAGGTCTGCAGGAGGACTCAGAGCCAGCTATTTGGGAAGAGTGATCTAGATATTGTAACAGCATGGCCCATGGGGAGGGTAGTGAAAGGAAGCCACAGTGACTGTGATACATAGTGAGGGAGGCAGTGTGGCACCAAATGAGAGTGGGAAGGTAGGCAGGTCAGGTCAGGTTACACCTTACAAAGCCATGATTTAGGATTTTGGACCTTCTAAGTGAAATAGTTGTATGGCCACACAAGCTGGGAGCTACACAGCTCCAAGGAGCTCTGTTTACCTTGTAGTCCATGACAGTGGTGACCTGGAAGTGTGAATGATGTGCCTTGGAGTTGTGCAGTGCACATCCTGCACAGCCATACCTGGTGGCCATACCTCGAGGCACAGCCATACCTGGAGACCTGGGGGTCTGGCTCCAGTAGGTAGAGTGGATTGGAGAGGGCAAAGGGAGCTCATTAGGAGCCTGTTGCAGTGGCTCCAGGCTCACTTTACCTTCCCCTTTACACCCACTCCCTTGGCAAGCTCACCTTTACCCCTCTCTGCCTTTCTAGCAGTTCCTCCCTGGAGTAACTTCCTAATATTTGACTTGAGTGGAATTTAAGAAACACTCAACACCAAGCAGTCGGGGAGGACAGGAATCAGCCTAGAGGGCACAGGATTCCATCTGGCAGAAGGTGATTCAGAGTGGGACTCCTGGCTCAGCATGAGCAAGGCAAGGTAGCAGGGCTCAGCCTCAGGCCAGGGCCCCAGGTGGAGGCTCAGATATGTGATGAACCACCATGGGAGCAGAAATGGCCGCTGTGAGCTCCAGGCCACACCAGGGGTCTCTGGAAGCCCCTGGTCTATCAGTAGGAGACCTTGGGCCCAGCCAGGGTGGAGCAGGGTTGGTCTATAACCAGGATAAGGCCTGGAAGGAACAGGCAGGAGAGGCCCTGGGCCCTAGGCCTGGAGCTTGGGGCCTAAGCATGCCAGGCTGTGGCAGTCCCAGTTGCAAAAATCCCAAGGCTAAATACAGAGTGATAGAATGGACTTTAGAGACTGAGAATGGCGCGGGCAGGAGCAGGGACAGGGATAAAGAAACTAATACATGTTAGGTACAATGTGCAGTACTTGGGTGATGGGCGCACTGAAATCTCAGAATTCACTGCTATATAGTTCATTCATGTAACAGAAAACCACTGTACCCCAAAAACTATTGAAATAAAAAATAGAATCTTTTTTTTAAAGTCCCAAGGCTAAGACCTGGGAGCCCCTGGCTCCCCACTCTGCCTACTCTTGAAGGATCCCTGTGGGTATTGACCAGAGCATTGCTAGAATCCTGACGCCTTCCCCTACACCTTCTTTCCCAATGACTTAGTGTAATTTCTCCCATCTTTGAATCCCAGAGCATATATTACCTTCTCTTAATCACCTACTTCATCTGACCTCCGATACAATTGGTTTTTAATCATTTTTATTGTGAAAAATATCACATATACAGAAAGGTGCATGAAACATAAATGTACAGGTTAGTGAACTTTTACCAAGTGAGCCACCACGCAGCCACCACCCACGTCGAAGAAAAGAGTCATGCTGGCTCCCAAGAGCTGCCTCCAACTTGCCCTGCATCCTTTTTGAACCTAACCTCTCCCTTCTCCCTAAAGGTAACCACTATTCTGAGTCCAATCATCAAGGTTTTGCTTTGTTTTTGCTTTTCTTTACCATTTTGTTACCTAAGTATGCATTCCTCAATAGTAGACAGAGTTCCATTTTTTTGTTTTCTCTTCTCCCATTCTTCAAAAGTTGGCTGTCTAGGAGAGTGACAGCAAAGGGACAAGAGTAGAGAGGGAGTCTTCTTGGGGGAGGGAGGAAGGTAGAGGAGTCAGCAGAGGATTAGACGAACAGAGAAAGTGGTGACCAGTAAATGGATGGAGGAAGGGCTAAGCAAAATGTGTCAGTGAGTCATAGCTAGCCTGCCAGCTGCCAGTTTCCAGCCTCTAGCCTACAAAATCATGCAAACTCCGTAACTTGGAATTCAAGGCCTTTCAGGATCCAGCCCCGCACACCCCAACCTCTCTAGCCATGCTAGCCTATTGGTAATTCTCCAGCATAGCTGGGTTTAGTAAGATACACTAAACTTTCCACATGGAATTCTTTGCCCACTTCTGTACCTGGAAAGCTCCTATTGCAAAGGAAAGAAGGCAAAGAGGGAGGATAGGAAGGTCTAGGGGGAGGAAAGAAAGAAGGAAGGAATAGAGGGAGGGAAGGAGGATGGGAGGATCAGAGGAAAGGAGGAAGGATGGGAAGATTAGAGGGAGGAAGTGAGCGAGAGAGGGAATGGTGGCATAGAAGCTGAGGGACCTCCAGCTGAAGTTTTAGTACCTCAAACCCTTCTGCCTTGCTCTGTTATTAATCTGAAGCTGTCTGTCCCCATGACACCTATGTCTTGAGTACTCCTTGCAAGTCCCCCTTCTCTGCTAGGCACGCTTCTGTGAGGCAGCTTGAGTCTCAACTCACCCCCTTGTCCTCCACTATAGCCCCAGGCCTTCCCTTCCTTTCCACCACACATGGTTGCTTCTGTGGTAGAGGCTGGAGGCAGTGGGCAAAGAGCCCCTGGGACAGGTGGGGATTGTGGGGAGAGTCAGGCCTTATCTGGAGATGCTGTGCCCCAGCACCTCTACCCTAACTGCCCCCTGCCCTGAAGTCTTGCTGCCCACTCTACCCATCCACCCCGAACATGCTGGGTACACAGGGGTGGGTGGGAGGGGCAGTGTATGCCAACTTTGGAACACGTGGCGCCACGGAAACAACGTGTTTTTTGTTTTCTACACAGACATAGTCAACTGTGACCTGAAATCTACACTACGAGTGTTGTACAACCTCTTCACCAAGTACCGCAACGTGGAGTGAGGGGCTGCCCTGGGCCCCCCACTGCCCAGGAGCTCTTGCTGTTGGCGTACTGGACCCTCCTCCGAACTGTCTTACCCTGCTTATTCCTGTCTCTTGCACTGTGCTCTCCCACAAGTCCAGCTGCAACCCAGAGATAGTAGAAATTGAAATTAGGAAGGAAATGATCATAACTCAGTGGGCTGACCCATCCCTCCCAGGCCCTGGGGACAACCTAGCAATGAAGGTTGGGAAGGTTGTTCCCATCCCGGTGCCAGGTCCACATTTCCCTCCATGATTTGGGAACCAGCTTAGGCAAAAGAGTCCCCAGAAATGAAAATAAAGATCCTAGTTACCTTTCAAAGGGTGCTAACTATGTGTCAGGCACCACACTCAGTGCTCTGCTCTGATATACTCAAGGCCATTAATCTTCAGGACTCCCATGGAAGTAGGTGTTACAATCCCCTTTTACAGATGAGGAAACTAAGGCTCGGAGGTTAAATGACTTGCCAGAAGTTGGCATTTTTTTCCTCTTTGAACATAACCTCTCCCTTCTCCCTAAAGGTAACCACTATTCTGAGCCCAGTCATCAAGGTTTTGCTTTTCTTTATAATTTTATTACCTAAGTATTCATTCCTCAATAGTAGACAGTACATGTTTATAACAAGCCAATTGCATATGTTCTTTACATATTCTAAAGTTGTGTATATGTGGGCACATACGAGCACGTGCATATGTACACCTGAGCCAAAAAGACGAGAACCCACCGATCTCACCACTGGGGCAAGCTAGGTCAGAGCTTAGTGATTCACACTGAAATTGGCAAATTGGATTTAACCCAATTAATAGTGTGTGTGTGGCAGGAGTCATGTCCCTCAAATCCTTTGTACAAATGAAAATTACTCTTAATTCCATCAGATTTATAATAACTCTGTACTTTGGTTTCAGGGTGACATTTGGGAAGGATTCTGTTTAGAATTAATGGAGTGGCACATTTTGCAGCCTTTTTGCTTGATTGCATGTAATGGAAATGCCCTATATTTTCCTGCAAAATAAGTACTAAATTCATTATCGTTAAGCAAATGTACAATATGCTCAGGCACTACAGAGAGCTGGGCACGGGCCCATGTAAGCATCGCTTTGGAAGTAGGGCACTTCAACAGGGACCCTTGAACTTTAAAGAAAGGAACTTCTTTTTGCCTTCTAATTGATCATTTGGACTATTCTGGCTAAGTCTGTCCACATGTAATTACCGGCTAATTCAGGCGAGGAAAAATGTAAGTCATTTAGACCAAAGCCAAGCAGTTTCTTTGCGTGGGTTACTCAAGGGCTTGTGGTTACTTGTATCTCCTCTATGTGAACTTGACTTTGAAAGACAGAGCTCTAGTGTGCCAGCCTACTAGGTCTTGTAAGAATAGGGAAGGGGCAGAGGTGGGTGGGCAGTGACTAGGGGACGAGAAGCATGGGAAAATATTTGCACTCTAAACATATAGAGATAGAGGTGGGACTTGTGGTACTCAACACTTGTAGCCTTCAATTGACTGAGGCTTTGGGCTAAATCATCAATTGTGCTGATATCCATCTCATTATGGAATGTTCCTAAATATGCCAGGTAGACACCAGCCCAAGTACCCTCCTCCAGAAGTCTGTGACTACCTTGTCACTACTTTAGGCCCACTCCACAAAGCGCATCTCTGGTTTGAGAAATTCATTTTGATCTGTATCTACACCACCCAAAGTTAGGCCTCCTATAGTGTCCAAAACATTCCTTTCAGCCTTATTTCTTACTGTACTGTCTATCTGCAGTAATTCAGGACCCATAAAATTTAGATAACTACATGTCTTTGCTCTTAGAATTGTCACTCAGCATAATGAGCATTTAACATACAAAGGCAATGTACTGTTTTGTGTTGATCTATGTAAAAGAATACAATTCTTTTTTATGTAATTAGTGAAATTTTATTTTTTATTAGGAAACACTAAATAGTGTAATATTTCTTTTGCTTTTTAAAAAATTCCTGGTAGCAAATCAAGATAAATAATTGCTTAATTTTCTTGAGCAATACTGAAGCAGGATGAAATAAGAGGAATGCATTCATTTAAACATGCTTCGCTTTATGAATTTTGTCTCTTTTTTGGTCTTTTTTTCTTATATTCAAGTTACAAATGTACAAGTGTCCTTACTAAGAGTGCTCCTTTTGTATTTTACATATACACAGTATGAAAATACATTGGAACACTAGGAAAGTTTTTAAATAACAGTTCTAATTTATCAGAAAATTGTGTGGGGGATTGAGTTCTTTGACTCAGCCCAGAATCCCACGTCCTGGGCCTGGTTTTCTAACGCGGTCATCTCATCTCGATATTTTACTTTAGAATCTTAATATATGACCATGACTTTGAAAGCCAAAAGAGGAATCAACAAGAAATAAAACAAACCTTCATCTTTAAATAAAAAGAAAAAAGAAAGAAACCAAAATGAGAATCAACACTTTATAGTATAGGCTCACGGGGTTTTGTTTTCTTTTCTCTTAATTTAAATTCAGTTATTTTTAATGGTTAATACATAAATGGTGCGAAATTTAAAAAGCGCAAATAGATACCTAGTGGGAAACCCAAGCCTCCCTCTCTCCTCCAGCACCCATTACCTCTCCCTGGAGGCAACTCTTTTGATCCATTTCTTACACACACTGCCAGAGATACTCTAGGCATGTAAAGCACAAACATACATATAAAATCTGCGGGCTTTTAAAAATATAAGTAAGATGTCATACATACTGTCATACACATTCTTTTTTACCACTTAATGTTATATCTTGGATATTGTATTACCTGGATATTAAAAAGAACTCCTTTCACATTTTAAAATAACAGTCTGAGCACTTCATAAATCCAAATGCGTATCTCCAGTCTGCTTGAGCTAGGAAAGGAAAAAAGCCCGAGCCGAAGGAGGAAAGGCTGCCTAGACAGTGATTTCAAAAGTAGAGACTAAAACCTATGGAGTGCGGGACCAGAGGCTGGGGCGCATTATCAGAGGCATCCTCATGTGCCTTCAACTGAACGTGTTTAAGTCCTCTTTTGGAATATTATGGTGAATTGTATGCAGATTGGTGAAGGCTTCATTTTTACATATTACCAGGACTACTAATTTGTAATCTACTAAGCATCACAAAGGTTACTACATACCCTATAATTCTGTGCTATAAAGTCTAGCTGCCAGCAGTGCCGTGCTCGCCTGCTATATTAGAAGGCTCCAGTTTCACATGTGCAGCACAGAGATGACATTGCCTGATCTGGGAGAAGGGTTCTTTATCAGCACATCATCAGTGTTGCCTTGAGTTGGTTGCAATTTTCAATTGCTGCTATTGGTACTTTTTAATTATGAATTACTGTTAGCTTGCATTATCATCAGTTTATTTTGTTGTGGGTTGCTTGGTTAACCCTACAGAGTATACTTGAAGCTTATTTGCATCAACAGTATTTTGGAGCTGTAATTTTTCAATAGTTAGACTCTAAGACATGTATACATTGTGGTTCAAATAGGAATCATCCATAGTCCAGTGTTAGAACAAATGTATACATAATCCACTCCCCACAAATTATCACTCATTTATTTTTCCACTGGAAGATAAGACTAGATGGAGTTGGTGGGTGAAGCAGTTTTGCCCTGCCTAAGTGGAGGCTGATCAAAACTAATTTGAGGTCCCCTGCCTTTAACACAGCTCCACCTCAGGAATCTTACCTTTATAATACATCCTAGATATGCAAGAGGGATATGTCCTGAAATCTTCACTAATTCCAAGATGGCATGTCATTTCCCCCCAAAAAAAATTTGTTTAACTCTATTAGAAAATCACAGAGAACTGCTGCAACTGCTGAAAACAAGAGAGCTGCAGAGCTGCAAGGCTGGGTAGGGTAGGTAGACTGACTCACCACCTATGGGACCTGCCTTCACACATCAGCTTCCCAAATACTTGCAGATTTGAGTCTTACCAAAAGACAAGTCAGTATGAGTTGTCATAACTACAAAGGCTACATTTACAAATACCAGAGTTGTAATTGTTTTTTTACTCTCTGCTCCCTGAAAACTATAACCCCAGGCTAGCTTCAAACTGTGCATATAGCATGCTTTACTACAGTGGTGGCTGCATATGTGAATATGTGCATGTGTGTTCACGACAGCAGTGCAGCCATGAGGGTGCTCAGTACAGGGTGAGCAGCCCCCAAACCAAGCCGGATGACCTTGAGAACATCAGGCTTCCCAGTAGGATCCTGCCAGAAAGCATCTCTTAAAAATAAATTCTACAGGATATTAGTAAATGTTAGATGGAAAAAAAAAAGTCACATTTAAATACGTTTAGGAAACATGAGGTGAAGAAAGTTAGCTTACTGAGGCTTTTTGTTTTCTATTTGGAGCCTACCTCAGAGCCCCCTACGTAATGCATATTAGGACTCTGTGAGGGAAGACGGGATACAATGGGTGCCAGTCTTGTTTGGTCACAGGACCTGTCTGTCCCCTGAGAAATTTCTAGAATGAGTACTCTGAACTCAGGCCTTCATTTAGTCATGTATTCGGCAAGTACGTGTTGAGTGCAGCATGTCAAAGGGTGAGTGAGAGGTTATAGTGTAGCAGGGGAGACAGATGAAAAATAACTCTGAATCGATGTTAGTTACAAATTGTGACGACCGCGATGGAGAAGTACTAAAATCTGTGAAAGAGGTCTAATGGAGATTTGAGGTCATGAGGAGTCTCTGGCAAAGCGGCGTTTTAAAGTAACCCCTCAGTCGTGGAGCTATTCCAGTGAGGAGCCGGCCACTCCAGGGCGCAGCACGGAGGAGGATCCCCAAACAAGAAGACCTGGCTCCGAGAGGAGCTGCGGGAAGCCAGCATGACTAGAGGACACAGAGTGAGGGAGAAGAAGGATCCGATCGCAGGCATCGGGAGTGCTGATTTTTCTCATTTGAAAACTAGGTTGCCATTTACCTATTAAAATGTCCCACTGTGTAGGAAAACTCTGGGGAAAGCTACATCAGTAATACGGAGTCTGGGACTGCCCTTCTCATGTCATACCATGGTTCTGGCTGGGGAACGGAGGAGACCAAGAGAGATGATCAAACCTGTGCCCACCCCAACACCAATCTGGTCTCAGCAACCTCTGGGCATCCCATAGCTCCTCCTAACCTGCTGCTGCTGATGGACAGGAGCTCCTGGACTACTCCCAGCCTCTCCACAATGTGTCCTGAGAAGAGCTAGGGGAACTGGACAGAGCGGACAAGGCTGCATGTGTGGAGGGAAGGCAATAAGGGGCCTACCAGGCCAGAACGCTGATCCATGGAGACCAGCACTTCCAGCCCTCTCACCTCAGAGGAGGACTCCTGTTTTACCAATGGCAGGAGCAGGAGTCCCACCATCCAGCCTGTGGGCTTGACAAACTATAAGCAAGCTTCCTGGATGTGGAATAATACATTTTCCAAATTCATACTAATCAGCATGAGCTATACCTGCTACTATGCCCACCACATTATATACAGTCTACCAACAGGGGGTCACTTAATGTTTCACAATGTTTGGTGAAACAACTTTCATATGAAAGTACAGTTATCCTTGAATGATATGGGCAGTGACCCCTGAGCAGCTGAAAATTTGCATATAACTTGACTCCCCCAAAACGTAACTATAATACTAATAGCCTTACTGAACACAGTCAATTAACACATACCTTGTATATTATGTGCATCATATACTATATCCTTACCATAAGGTAAGCTAGAGAAAAAATGTTACTAAGAAAAACATAAGCAAGAGAAAATATATTTACTATTCATTAAGTGAAAGCAGGTCATTATAAATGTCCTCATCCTCATGGTCATCACACTGAGTAGGCTGAGGAGGAGGAGGAGGAGGATGGGTTGGTCTTGCTGTCTGAGGGGTGGTAGATGCAGAAAAAAATCCATGGGCTGGGCATGGTGGCTCACACCTGTAATCCCAGCACTTTGAGAGGCTGAGACAGGCATATCATGAGGTCAGGAGATGGAGACTATCCTGGCTCATATGGTGAAACCCCTGTCTCTACTAAAAATACAAAAAATTAGCCAGGCGTGGTGGTACGTGCCTGTAATCCCAGCTACTCAGGAGGCTGAGGCAGGAGAATCGCTTGAACCCGGGAGGTGGAGGTTGCAGTGAGCTGAGATCGCGTCACTGCACTCCAGCCTGGGCAACAGAGCAAGACTCCATCTCAAAAAAACAAAACAAAACAAAATCCATGAACAAGTGGATGCACTCAGTTCGAATCTTTGTTGTTCAAGGGTCAACTGTATATTATTTTCACTGGAAGTTTTGAAATTCCAGAAATATGCTTGGAAATCCCCTCTTGAAAGCTCCTTGATTGGAAACCAGTCCAGTGGGTGGCTGGCCCAGAATGATGCTTCTCCTCGGTGGCCCCCTGAGCTGAGCAGCCTGTGTTCCTGCCTCAACTCCCCTGAACCCTCCTGAACTTTCTACACACGTGTGGGCACTGGCTTTGATACTGGCATTTAGAAGGGCACTTAGGAAATTCAGAGAAGTACCCATTATTAAGATAAATGATGTTTTATCAATGAAGCAGACTTTTCATTTCTTTTTATTGATCTTCATGTTTTCACATCTTCAGATGCAATTTGTTAGCACAGGCCGGCATTCCAAGACACACAAATGTCATTAAGGCAACTGCTTAAAGGAGTGTGATATTTTATTGAGGTAGACAGGACAATAGATAAATATTTAATCTGTTACATGTTTGCTCTGTATGGAGCCAGGATTGGGGCTGCACAACTCTCTGGCTGCTATGTGTCTTCCTGGAAACCCTATCAAAGGCCTCACCACCTGCCTGCAGAAACACAGTGCCTGCCCTTGGCAAATAGATGTTGGTGTTTCTGAAAAACAGCTCCTGGAAGCTTTTTCTCCTTCAGGCTTTAGAGGTTACCCAATCTTTCCTTATGTGTGTAATATTGGAGAATATACACTCTCACTGAACTGAGGATGTTTGACTTAAAATGATGGACAATAAGATAGTGAGCAGTAAGTGTGCTCTAGGCTAGGGTACAAGAGGCCATGAGCTCCTCATCTCTGTTCTGAGCTCTCTGATCCACTGCACTTGGGGACAAGGGTAGCATTCTCTGTGCCTCTCCTGAGTCTGTACTTTCTGCATCATTGACTCTCCCAGCTCTCTCTCATAATGTCCTCCTAGCCTGCATTGGAATTGCGTGTTGTCCAGACCCATGACCAAGGCTGTCATTGCCTGTGGGAGAGACCAAGCTCACCACCAAGGGCTTTTGCCACTTTGCTTTCACTTAACAAAATTTGCCCATTCATGTGTCTTTGTTTACAGATTAAAAGGCTTTCTGACCGGCATCCCTTTGGTGCTCTTTGTCAATAAAATACAGAGCTTTCTCTCCTGTTCTTTTCATGTGACTCCAATTCCCACATGGCAGCACAGGCCCGCCCTAACATTGATGAAGTGGAACTCCAAACACCATGGGACAAGAATTCTGGTCAGTGCCCTGGGCTGGGCCCCAACCTCTCACAATCATAATGCCATCAAGTCAGGGAATATTTCTGGAATGTCTGTTCAGTCTTCAACCCCACTCTCTGCACAAAATGGGATAGGAAAGTCCAGGGTCTTTTCCCAAATGACTCTCCATCTTAGTGGGGATGACAAGTGCAGCTCATTTGAGGTAATTCAATGGCATGATGAGATAGCATCAGATATCATTGAGGTTCCCTAATTAGATTCTCCCAGAAAATACCCCAGCCATAGCTGCCATGGAATCTTTGGGAGCGTTTCCCTCCAGGATCAAAAACTTCATTTTCCATACAGATTTGCTGCTACAAAAATCACACAATTCACCCTAAAGCCAAATGGAGACTTGGGGTCATTCTTCTAAAGTATTACTTGTTGCTAGGAAATCACTGTCTTTATGCTACAGATTCCAGATGACCAGCAACGACCCAAAGTCCAGCCTGGGCTCTGCTGCCAGCCATTTCCACTTTGTCTTCACACACAGCTTCCTGTTTTGCGCTGGTCCTCTCCCTCTGTGGTCCCCCAACTAGTCCCCTAATCTAGGCCTCATCCTCTCATGTCCAGGTACTGCAATGACTCTTAACTAGTTTCTGGGGTTTTTTCCCCATATTTTTTTCTTCCTATGCTCTAACATCTATCACTATATTGAGAAGTTTCTCTTTAAGTTAATCCATTCTGTATGTATTCCCTGTGAAAACTTCTGGAAACACAGCTAATTTCACACCCCTCTCAACTAATGCTAACAGTTGTGTTTATTGAGCACTTACAGTGTACACTTTACATGAATAATCTCCTTTGGTTCTTTCAACAATCCTGTGAGGTAGGTTCTATTATCCCCATGTTATAGACAAAAGAAAAAAAAAAAAAAAAAACAAAGATTTTAGTGACATGATCCAGGTTCCATGTCTTGTAAATGACAGAACTTTGAGTCCTGGCCATGTGGCTCCAGAGTTGAAGTCCTAACCATTTAAACATGGTGTATCTTCAGAACCTTTAGCGATTCCCACCTTTGTTTCCTGCCAGCAGCTGCTCTCCTTTGCCTTGTTTTCAAATGGAATTCCCGAAACAACCAGGCTGGGAACTGATAAGGCTGTCACTAATTCATTTATTCTTCATTTGTTCAATAAATATTTAAACGCTACCTATGATGCCAGATGCTGCGCTAGGCATGGGAGAATCCACAGCAAACAAAACAGACATGCGCTTATGCTCTAGTGACTTCCAAGCCTTGCCACTTCCCTCTGACCCTTGATTCAGACCCCGGATGGAACCAGGCTGCATCTCCTTCTGAGCTTTAGCTCAGTTTGACCCTCTCCAACCACAGTCCCTGCTAGGATCCTGTTACTTCGTCCTCTGGTTGTGCCTTGCATAACCTAGGCTGCCAGAGCCTAGGGTGTTCCTTGGGTGTTCCAAGACAGACACATGCTCCCTGTTGGGAAAGATAACTGCCAACCCCTTTTCTGCCCAGGAGACCACAACTCAGTGATGATCTCCAGTGGAAAAAGAAAGACTTGAAATAAAGTATTGTTGGACTCCAGCCATGTGCCACGCACAGCAACCTGTGTATCATGTAGATACAACCTGTCAAGTAGGTGCTATAGTTACGCATTTTACAGAAGAGAAAACAGATTCACCAACTGGGTTCAAATCTAGCTCTGTCTGACTCTGAAGTTTTCATTCTCTCCAGGATGTCCTGCTGCCTCCATATTCCTTTAACCCCGGTTCCCCAACACCACACAGGCTAGAGGTGAGGTCACGATCAATGTCAATGAGGTTTGATTCCAACTGTGAATCAAAATTCCTTTTACCATCACAGATACTGTGTTTCCTCTTGACTTTACGTATTTATCTAGTTAGTTGACAGAGGGGGAGTGCTGGGGCCTCTCCTTAACTGATTGCAGGAAACTCTGAAATTAAAGAGAGGTTTATCAGAACTCTGAAGCTGTTCCTTTTGTTTGTTTGTTTTTAGAGACAGGGTCTTGCTCTATCACCCAAGCTAGAGTGCAATAGTACAGCGTAGCTCACTGCAGCCTCAAATTCTTGGCCTCAAGCAATCCTCCTGCCTCAGCCTCCCAAACAGCTGGGACTAGAGGCACATGCCACCCCACTTGGCTAATTCTTTTTTATTTTTATTTTCTAGAGACGGGGTCTATGTTGCTAGGCTGGTCTTGAACTCCTGGCCTAAGCCTCCCAAAGTGCAAGCCATTGTGCCCAGCCTTGAAGTATTCTTTCAAGGGTATGCTCTGTGTCTTTTTCTGCCAAACACTTGGTTATTTGGAGGACTCTGGGAAGAGGCACAGGTATGAATGCCTGAGGAAGCCTCATTTCCTCTCCAACAAACAAGTGGCCTGTCTCTGCCCTTGTGGGGACTTGGGGGCTGTCCGCCTCTGGGTAGAAAGCTAGAGAGGTAAGGTGAGCTCCCAGCTTCTGGACTGGAGTTGTGGGGAGAGGGAAGGGCATGGGAGGTACAGAGGCTGGAGTCTGCAGCACCACCCCAGCTGACCAATGCTGGGCCCAGGGAAATAGCCAGGCTTGCTGAGGTCTCATAGGCAGGAACACACAAGCTGATCACAGTTCAGGCAAGTATACATGGAGAGGAGGATTCCAGCAGGTAGGGCTAAGTGACAGGCAGCAAACAGGGCTTGAGATCAGGGGAGATGGCACCACACAGAAGGGGCGGCCTAGTCTGCCAGCCTCAGGCAGGGGACCAGCTGGAATTAGTAGTGGGCCTTTTGAGTCCCACTGGGCAATTGCTGTGCAGGGCAGGTGAAGGCAGGAGCTTAGGCCCGTGAGAGCGATGAGAGAGCCAGGTAGGAGGGTGCTGTCATCAAACAATGTCCAGGTGCTCCAAGTAGACTCTAGGTCTTTAATAACAGAACTTTTCCGGGGCTGCTGAGTTACTGCCTGTGAACTTCTACCTCCACACACCACACATCAGCAGATTGGTTCCTAAGACTGCGGCTGGGAACACCAGTAGACCCAGAGACAGGGGACTGAAAAGGTAAGGTGACAGCCGTCCTGACTTATGGTCTAACTGAGCCCAGAGCCCCGCCTGGAAGCACACGGCCCCACTGGCACAGCCTGTGCCCATATGTGAATAGACTTTACTGAAAGGCTCTGCTTCCTCCATTCGTGACTCAGGTTTACCCACACTGGCTGTTTCAACAGTTGAAGATGTACATCAATGTATGTTTATAATAAGCCTGTGAGATCATTTTACAAAATCGAATTCCAGGGGCTTAGAGAAAACAAGTCACATGCAGCAAGTTTCTTCTCTTGAATTTTCCCAATGTGAAAATCTGCAGTCAAGTTACACTGCTTGAGACTCGACTCAGGGGAAGCCCAGGGGAGAGAGCACAAGCACATTTTATAAGGAGAGCCAGAACCCCTGAAAACTTGATTTAGGGGCAAAGGGCCTATGTTCAAGCCTGGCATTTGCTAGCTGTGTGATACTGGGCAAGTCACTGTATCTCTGAGCCTCTCCGTCAGTAGTGAGGATGTGAGGGGGGCTTGTCACTTGTTGAGTCCTGGTTTGATTTTGCCTGGCTCAGAAGTGTGTCCCGCCCCACCATCTTCAGGCCTCTCTCCTGAACCTATGCTCCAACTCTGAGAGTAATCATCCCACACCGAGGAGGGCCACTCCACAACCCAGTGCTGGTGGAGAGACCCAACAACAGTGTGGCTATGGACACTCTGTAAACCTGAAAGCTCCATAGAAGTAGGGGTTCCTAGTGCTATTGTTATTCCTGCAAGCCTTAGGCCAGGGTTGGCAAATAGTACCATGCTTCCTCTGCTCCTCACATATCTATGGCAGACATGTGAGCATCATGTGAGCATCAACCCAGCACTCTCCCCATCACCTTTTGACTAGTGATGTCTGTGGTGGAGTGGGAGAGAGGCAGGAATATTACAAGGAAAGCTGTTTGCCATTGTAGCCTTGTACAAATTTTATAGCTTAGGATGCCAATACAAGGCTCCAAATAAATTCTTAATGCCCACTCCTGGACCAATCAGCCATGATTGCAGATGGGGCAGGAGGTAAAATCTATAGGAAGATAGTAGCTACCACTCAAACCACATATTTAGAGAGGAAATATTTACCAGAAGGCAGCATGTTGGATCTGCTCAAGATGTTCTGTTTTTAGCCTCCAGAAAAGCCACGTCCCTAGGTTCTGAGGGTAGTACCAACTCCATGCTAGGGATGAGCAAACAAGCCCAGATAGGTTAAGTAGAGTGGCCAAAATGACCCTGCAGAAAGGGGTAGAACTGTCTGACTCCAGCTTCCAAGCATCTTACCTTTAGGCAGGAAGGCAAGGGTTCCAAACACCCACGCATTCCCCAGGCAACCTCACCAAGGCCCAGTGACCCCAGCAGCCAGAGGACAGCCCTGAAAATGAGGCCCGGGAGCCCTTGGCTATGTTGTAAGAACTGTGAGAAGCAGTCACAATTAAATCCAGAAGGCTTTTTGGAGAAGTCTGCAGTTTGGGAACAATCCTGCTAAGTCATAGATGCTTTGAATTCCTCAGCTTTTGCCTTCAGAATTCCTGGCAGCTGCAGGCAGTAGATGAGTATTCGTGGACAGACACTGATTTCTCCCAGGCTGGGGAAGGTCAGGGCAGGCCAGGTCCAAGACTGAGAAGCCAGCAGACTGAATCTCTGCTCTAGAGAAGTCTAGAGGCAGGAAGGGTTTGTGCAGTAGATGCTGTGGTGCCCCCTGCCCAGGTGCTCCTGAGCGCCAAGGCACTCATTCTTCCCTCTCTCCCTACCCTCCACACCCCCAGCTGCCTCCCACTGCACCATAGGCCCTGCTGAAGAAAGATGTGAGCCTGTC